TCCATAACTGAAGCATGCAAAAAAGAATCGTCTGGGTCATCATCCACCTCAGCAACCAACAACATGTAACATGTTGGGTCATCATCCACCTCAACCATCTCTGCCTCGGTTAATTGCTTATAACGTGTGCGCTGAGGAGGAGCAGGAAGTAGAGGTGGCCATGGTTATCGAACTCGCGGGTTGACTCGTACACCCATACGAGTCAGCGAGTCAAGCTATTGTTTACGGGTTAACTCGCATATAAACTCGTTTTTTGTGTTGACTCAGAGTGAACTCAGAATAAACTCGCTGACTCGGAATATACTCGTGAGTTTGAGAGCGAGTCACCGAGTTCGTAGGGAGGACGAAACGACAAACAAAAATGTCGTTACCATTTCGATTTTAAACCCAAACAAAAGCCCTAACCACCCAAATCGAAAACCTAAACGAAATTAAAGATTGAAACCCAAATCAAAAACCCTAATCGAAGAAGAAGAGAAAATCGAAGATGAAAACCTATATTTGACCTCCCTCGTCCCCGCAACTCTGGTGTCGCGCGTTGAGTTCTGGTCGCATCGCGTCGTCGCCCTGCAGCTCAGCCCTCGCAGCTCCGCGTCATCGCGTCGCGTTTTCACCCCCGCAGCTCAGCCCTCGCAGCTTCGCGTCATCGCGTCGCGTTGCAGCTCCGATCGTCTCGCGTAGCAGCTCCGGTCGCCTCCCGTAGCAGCTTCGGTCGCCTCGCCTCGCCTCGCGTCGCAGGTACTGCGTAAGTGAGTGTGAGGATGTGCGTTGCATTTCTCTAAAATGCAATGCATTTTTTTTAACTGAAACTTTTTTTTTTATTCATTAGCAAAAATCTAGCTGTTAAAATTTTTTATATTATTTATTTATTTATTTATTTATTTATTTATTGAATAGGTAGTATTTATATAATTTATTCTTTGTTTTATTTATTGAATTTATTTTTTGTTGCATATTTTATCTTTTATTTTAGTTGTTTTTTATAGTTGTTCTAAAAAAATAAATTATTTTATTTTTAGTTAATTGAGACCGATTTGCAATGTCCGGAAGTGGGACTGCTTCAAATTCTTGTGATTCCAATGTTAATGTATCTTCACTACTTAGATCTAGAAGTAAAAATGCTTTAGGAAACCGGACCGACATTGGATGGAAACACGGAACAGATGTTTCGGGTAATGGAAAAAAAGTTAAATGTAATTATTGCTCAAAAATAATCAATGGAGGAGTTTTCAGATTCAAACATCATCTTGCTGGTACTAGATATGATTATGAACCATGTGCCTCAATTCCAGAAGAAGTGAAAGTTGTAATGATGAAAGTTGTGGCAGAGGTTAAAGATGTTTTAGAAAAGAAAAGGAGACAGAATATAATTGATGAGTATGATGATGAGCACATTCAAGAGGTGGATACCACTCAAAGTAGTAGTAGTATGATGTTCAAAAATAAAGGAAAGGACAAATTCAGTCAAGGTGTTCAATCTACTTTAAATCAACTGTATAAGAAAGGGGATAAAGAAAAAGTTGATGCTCAAGTGGCGGAATTTTTTTACACAAGTGTCATTCCATTCAATGTTATTAGAAATCCTGCTTTTGCAAAAATGTGTGAGATGATTGGAAGATATGGAGTTGGTTACAAACCCCCATCATATCATGATATTAGAGAAAAAATTTTGAAACAAGCAGTGCAAAAAACTGATGTAATCCTTTAAGAATATAAGGAGGAGTGGAAAAGAACAGGTTGCACAATCATGTCTGATGGGTGGACTGACAAAAAAAGATGTTCTATTTGTAACTTTCTAGTCAATAGTCCTAAAGGGACTGTGTTTCTTTACTCATTGGATACATCAAATATCTCAAAAACTGCAGATAAAGTGTTTAAGATGTTGGATGATGTAGTGGAATTTGTTGGAGAGGAGAATGTGGTTCAAGTGGTTACCGATAATGCTGCAAATTTCAAGGCAGTTGGAAAGTTATTGATGCAAAAACGAGAGCATTTGTATTGGACCCCATGTGCTGCCCATTGCATTGATTTGATTTTTGAAGATTTTGAAAAACATTTGAAGGTCCATCAAACTACTATCAAGAAGGGAAGAAGAATCACTACCTACATTTATGGTAGAGCAATGCTAATTAGCATGTTAAAGAAGTTTACCAAAGGTAGAGACTTGATAAGGCCAGGTATGACTAGATTTGTCACATCTTATCTAACTCTTGCATGTCTTCATGAATTGAAAGCATCATTGATGAGCTTCTTTAGCTCTGATGAGTGGAAATCAAGCAAATTTGGAACTTCAATGGAAGGGAGAAAAATTGAGCATGTGGTATTAGATAGTCGGTTACTGGAAGAATGTAACCACTTGTCTCAAAGTTGCTGCCCCTTTGATGGTGGTCCTTCGATTAGTGGATTCGAGATATAAAACCCGCAATGGGTTTCATTTATGAAGAAATGGATTCTGCTAAAGAGAAGATCAAATTTAACTTTAATAATATTAAGAAAAGGTAAAATTTATAAACTTTCTCTTTTTCAGATTTTCATTCTTTATTTTATATAATTATTTCTAACATTGCATGATTGCATCATTGTAGTTATGAACCTATTTGGAACATAATTAATGAGATGTGGAATAATCAACTTCATAGACCTTTGCATGCGTGCTGCATATTACCTTAACCCTCACATGCACTATGAACCTAATTTTAGAAATGATGATGTGGAGGTAAAAGAAGGGTTGTATGAATGCATGAAAAGATTGGTCAAGGATGTTACAGAAAGGAAAAAAATTAATTTACAACTTCTAGAGTTTCATTTTGCAAAAGGACTTTTCTCAATGGAAAATGCAAAAGATTGTAGGAAAGTTATGCTTCCTGGAGAATGGTGGGAAATGTTTGGAGATGGAACTCCAGAATTGAAGCGATTTGCTATTCGAGTTTTGAACTTAACTTGTAGTTCTTCCGGGTGTGAGCATAATTGGAGCTCATTTGAAATGGTAAGTCAAATTTGTTAAGTTATTATTTGTTTTTAATTTTTTGTATTTAAACATTCATATTTATTTATAGGTTCACACAAAAAGAAGAAATCGTTTGCACCAGAAAAAGATGAATGACTTGGTTTATGTCATGTACAACTTGAAGCTCAAAAATAAACAAAATAGGAAAACAGTTGCTCTCCCATTTGATGATATTGAGTCTGATGATGAATGGATAACAGAAGATGGTGATAATGTTGGGATTGAGCCAGTTCAAGGTGAAGGTGATGAGGAAAATGTTGACATAGCTGAAATAAGTTCAATTGATCCTACTTTAGAACCAATTGATCTTGATAATATAGTGTTTGATGCCAATGTTGATGATGCACTTTTATCATCCGAGGAAGAGGTTGATGGTGATGGAGAAGATGATGATGAAGATAAAAAAGATGATGATGTTGAAAATGATATAATTAGAGGATTGGAGCTAGAAAGTTGAAGTTATTTATGTTTTGATGATTTGTATTAACTTATATATTTGGTGTAATTTAAACTTATATAACAATCATATGTGTTGAATCAAGTTATATTTAGAATTATTGAACTATTGTTTTTTATTTTCATTAATTTTGATGATAAAATTCTGAATTTATATAATATAGAATTTTAGACTCTTACGACACCAGTTGAGTTTACAAGTCTACGAAGCTCTCCCCCGTCAACATATTCTCGATTCTGATAACCTTGGAGGTGGCAACTGCTTCGGAGGAACTAAAGGAACCGGAGGTGGAGTGAACGTACGGGTCACCGACGACAATAGTCTGGAAAAAGCACTCTGCGACCAAATTAGACGAGACAGATCATGAAACCTTTCCTCATGAAGACGAGCTAACCCAGAAGCTTGAGAGAGCGTTTGGGGTTGTTGAGAAAGCACCTCACGACGGATTTCCGGTTTTAACCCAGAAATAAAGCAAATCAAAAGAAATTAGGGTTGTAACCCAACAATCTGGTTAGCAAGAACCTCAAACTCACTCAAATAAACAGCAACAGAGGAGGTTTGGGTTAGCTTGAAAAGCTTACCCCGAGGATCGTCGAAAGCGGTAGGCGCGAAACAGGTCTCTAAGGCTTGTAGTAATTGTTACCATGAGTGAATATGTCCATTGTTGTACATCTACTCTGATGTGGAATGATAGTCAAAGAATTGACAGATCTTAAAGATCCAACCATGGGGGTCAAAACCATTAAAGCGGGGGACATTCAGCTTGAGAAAATGACGATGAGAGGAATTGTTATCAGTTGAGGAAGATGAGGGAGGAGAAGGAGGTGGAGAAGAGGGGCGGTTTTCAAGTGCGGAGAGACGGAGGTTCATGTCATCCATTTTAGAGATGACAAGGGACATGTTATGGAGCATCTCATCCATTTTTTCTGACTAAGTCTTACGAACAAGTTCAGCCATGGTGGAGAAAAATCAATGAAAGCACCACAAATGATAGAATATGCATGTACTCTCTGTATTCGAGGACAAAAAAACTCTCCTAAGAAAGAGAATAGTAAAAGAGAGAAAATATTTTTCCTTCTTTCCATAATAACTAACCCTTGTAACAATATTCTCCCATGGGTAACAACATACAATACATTTAAGGGACAAGTTCTAGAATTTGGTTTACTCATTAACTAATAGTGAATAAAATGATCTCACCATGTGGGCTTTTGACTCAGATGTTTGGGCCTCTCACTACTAATAATAGTATTGTTTGGAGGGTTAACAGGTGATTAATCAAACTTTTAGTTTATAATCAAACTTTTTTTTATTTTTATTTATCCTTACAAAATAATTCCCCGCTGGTCCATATTCTCAATTCCTTCTCACGGTCTTATCCTTGCCAGTTGCATTTCATTACAACACTACAAAACCGCTCTAACAAAAATATCTCTTTAACCGAACATCATCGACACACATTTCTTCTTCTTGTAGCGAAACTGAAACCTTCTTTCGCACTCGAAAACTTTCCCAATTTCGCAAAACCTTAAAACTATGGAACTCTCGCGCCTCTTTGTTTCGGACACATGCTTCTTCTCCCCTCCGATTCGCTATTCTCCTTCGCCGGCGCTATCCACCTTCTTCACCGTACGCCTCCGCATTAACCGCCGCCGGAGGAGAAGCTTTTGTTTCGCCTCTAACCATGACACTTTAATCGCCGGCGGAGGTCCTGTCGTCGCCGGCGCCGGAGAGAAGCACGAGGAGGACCTGAAATCTTGGATGCACAAACACGGCCTCCCTCCGTGCAAGGTTGTTCTGAAGGATAAACCTTGCCACAATGATCCCCATAAGCCTATACATTACGTTGCAGCAAGTCAAGATCTTGAGGTTCATTCATGGCGTCCAAAATAATTTCCTTATCATTATTATCGCTGTTGTGTATGTTTGTTTCATGAACAAATTACACTGACACCCGTGTTTCGTCGAAATCATACTCTAAGTTACAGTAACATATTTTTAAGGTCATTGAATTTAATGTGTTTCATGGTGACCAGGGAGTGTTATTGTAATGTATTTCAAACATTAAGGGGTTTATTATAGGAATAAAAAAATAGGAGTATCGTGTGAGTTTTGGAAAAACCACAGTGGTGTTGATGCAATTTGGTCTTTCTTTAATGGGGTTTTGTGATGATTATTTGGGGCTGTCTCTATTTTGTTGCAGGTTGGCGATGTTGCATTCTCCGTCCCTAATTCCTTGGTGGTTACTCTGGAGAGGGTATTGGGAAACGAGACTGTTGGTAATTTTGCACTGTTTTTTGTTCTTTGGTCTTGACTTGTCTTGCCTATTCCCATTAATATACAGCGCAGATTGCACGTATTTCCTTTTCGTAAGATTTTAGTTACTAATTTTCTTACAAGTAATGGAAATTTGAATATCTGGAAAATGATAAAACATCACCGCCTTGTTTGTTTATTTTTTTAATTTTTTTTTTATATTTTCTAAAATTTGTTTATTTCTGCTTTTTGGTAGTTTGTTCTTTAAGTACTTGAACAGAACATTTGATGAACCAAAAGAAGAGGATGAGAAAACATCACCCAACTTTTTTTTTTTTTAATTTTATTTTTGGATTGTGGCAATGTTCAAAATTTAGTAGACTTTGGATAAGAAATTGATTATTAAGATGCTAGAAGTTCGAAATTGTTTTAGAAAGTAACTTTTAAAACCATAAATGTAAGAAGTCAGGCAAACAAGCCCTCAATACTTACTGATGATAATAATGGATTTTTGGTTCTTACTTCTTATAGGTTTCACTCATCCTTTATTTGGACATTGTATGGATCTTAGAAAAATGAAGTTGATGATCCTTTCACGAGCTTAAATAATTCTTAGATTGATGATAGATATTTTTGGTGGTAGTATGGTATGTTCCTTTAGTCGATCATGTTAAGTGTTAGCAAGACATTGGAAACTGTTTGGAATAGGTATGGCCATTTTGGGCAACAAAACATATATAGACATGGAAATGAATCTGGCAAACACCTAATCTTGAATTCATTAGCACAATGGAAAAGATGGTTTATGTTCTTTTTCGTACTACTTGCTATTGATTTAAGTGTTAGTGTTGTCTAGGTGTATAAAGCTAGGTATCAATGGCTTGGGTGTGTATTAATTATTTAAGTGTTTTAAAATTTGAATTTATACCTTGTGAATTTTATCCTTATTGCAGCTGAGCTATTGACAACAAATAAATTGTCCGAATTGGCGTGCTTGGCATTGTATCTGATGTATGAGAAAAAACAGGGGAAGAAATCATTCTGGTATCCATACATCAGGGAGCTTGATCGTCAACGAGGTAGGGGTCAGCTGTCAGTGGAATCACCTCTTCTATGGTCAAAATCTGAGCTGAATTACCTGTCAGGAAGTCCAATTAAGGTTCCCCCCCTCTCTCCTGATTAATGATGTATATATTATTATTCCATATCCATTGTATTGATGAGCAACAATATTAGGTTGGTTTAATGCTTGATATTTTTTTATATAACCAGATTAATTCTGATGTCTGTGATTTAGGATGAAGTTATTCAAAGGGAAGAAGCAATACGAAAAGAGTATAACGAACTTGACACAGTTTGGTTCATGGCAGGTTCTCTGTTTCAGGTGATAAAATACACGCTAGAACAAATTCAGTTAATGTAATAGTTATTTACATTTTGACATGTAGTGCTTACATTATATGCATAAATATAATGCAGCAATATCCATATGACATTCCTACTGAGGCTTTTTCATTTGAGATTTTCAAACAAGCCTTTGCCGCTATTCAGTCTTGTGTGGTGCATTTACAGGTAAAATTTCCTTGTTATCCATCATATATCTATATACAAGTAGATAACTATGCACAAAAATCACCAAATTAAGTTGCTTATCAATCTTTTAAGTCTATTTTTATTTAACTCTGCAGAGTATTACATTTGTTTATGGAATCATACCTAAATCTGAAATGTTTTAATCTTCTATGCTACAATTAAATTTCAGGCAAGAAAGTTTTTCTTATTTGATGTAATTTGTAGATATATTTTAATTGATTGTGGGACTTGTTAGATGAAATGGTGATAATTTAATAGAAAAATTTACTATTAGTGTTGTTACTATTGAATGTTAGAGTTTCAGTATGCATGTGGTATTATTATTGATCTAATTTCTTACCTTTGCACAGTGCAGTAATTTTCTTGGCTTCCCATGGGTAGCTGTTGCCATTACATTTGATGATTATCTTTAATATTTATGCTAGACTTCTCATTGATTATTTTTTTGGGTCAATATGTTTTTGTTCCCTCTAAAATATGTGTCAAGTTCAGTTTAGTCCCTCTATAAGTCATTTAGATAGAGTTTTATAAAGGTAAAAAAGTGGTTTAGAGGGGCCTCAAAATGACAAATGTTATATGAAATAAATCTGAACATTGCATATCTTAGAGGAACCAAAAACATATTTTACCCTTTTTTTGTGAACATTCACATCGGTTGATTGTGTTCTGCTTCTGCTATTTAATATGTGCCCACACTCTATGCTCTTCTTCTTTCTGGACAATAAGATTCCTTTGTTTTTTTCAAGGGGCACAAATTGACTTGAGTATCCTTTTTGAAATCAGAAAGTTAGTTTAGCTCGGAGATTTGCTTTAGTTCCCATGGGACCTCCTTTACTGTCCTACCAAAGTAACTGCAAGGCAATGTTAACTGCTGTTGATGGCGCTGTTGAGCTTGCAGTTGATCGCCCATATAAAGCTGGGGACCCAATTGTTGTCTGGTATAATATTCATTTTATTGCATTTAATTGGAAAAAGCACATTGTTAGACGGGACTTTTTGTTCTGTCTAGGAACTTCATTATAAGATTTGTAGTTGGTCATTTCCAGGTGTGGCCCACAACCTAACTCAAAGTTACTTATAAACTATGGTTTTGTTGATGAAAATAATACCAATGATCGTCTAATCGTTGAGGTATGAGTTGGACATTTAATTTGTTTTTTCCAGTTTAAATCCAAATTTAATTTTGTTGATACAACTATCCCAGGCAGCTTTAAATACTGAAGATCCACAATATCAAGATAAAAGAATGCTGGCTCAAAGAAATGGAAAGTTATCCGTTCAAGTTTTTCGTGTATTGATACTGAACCTACTATTGTTTAAGGTTATTTAGTGAATTTTATCATTAATTCCTTATTTCAACCTTCGTGCAGGTATATGCTGGGAAGGAAAGGGAAGCTATCTTAGATATGCTTCCTTATCTACGCTTGGGTTATGTTTCAGATTCTTCTGAGATGCAATCTGTCATCTCCTCCCAAGGTCCAGTGTGTCCGGTAAGTTTGTTTTATCCTTTGCTTTCCTTGTAATTTGAAGAATTTTAAGAATGGCATGGTCGCAGTCCAGCATTTGTCCCAGATACAAGTAAAATAATTTCCCTTGATGTCTTATGCATTACCTCTTTCATATTTTGTTGATATTTCATGACTTGAGGGTTTGTTCTTGGAAGTTCTGTCTTGAATTAGATGATTTTATTCCCTTTTCTAAACAAAAATTATTCTTATTTAATTAAATGGAGAGAGTGAATCTTGTGATGTGTGAAAAGTTGTCTCTATTTATACCTATACATTATAGGTAAGCCCTTGTATGGAACGGGCTGTGTTGGACCAGCTGGTGGATTATTTCAAGAATCGGCTGGCTGGCTACCCTACAACATTGGCTGAAGATGAATTTATGGTACTGTTTCTATTAATTAGAAGTTGATTAAAATGTAATACAAGACTTGTCAACATTTTCATTGACCATTTTTATATTTCATTAGCTGACTGATGGTAATCTGAATCCAAAGAAGCGAGTAGCAACCCAATATGTTCGGCTGGAAAAAAAAATGCTTCATGCCTGTTTGCAGGCAACTACTTACTTCATAAACCAGCTTCCAGATCACAGTATATCTCCCTGCCCTGCTCCCTATGCACCTTTGTTAAAATGAAAGGTTAGACTCTGGTTTTAAACAGCATAATCATGATTTTAGGTTTGTTTTAATGATTTTGTCTGTAAACACTAATAGGATCAGAAAACAAGAAGGAAAAAAGAAATAAGCTTTTCCATAAACTTTAGCTAACACATTAATTATTATGGAAGTTATATTAATTTATCCAAAAACTAAATTTTAATTATAGCTTAAGCTAATTTTAGTTTATAGAGAAACTTATTTCATTTTTCTTTTTATTTTCATATCATTATAACTGCTCATGGAGCAAGTTGGCCAAATAGACCCTTAATGAATTGTAAATTTCTAAAGCGAAGTTCCTTAAATTTTGTCATCTATGTAGGAACTGGATATGTCTGTACCGTCCAAATATATGGATTTGGTGATTAAGGTCAGTAAAATTATATGTTCTTGATGTGGAAACTTATTAGAAATCCCCTGAATTAGTCGAATTTGTTGTTTACCCCTCTTTAGCATTGGTTTATATGTGAATATGGATTACACTTTAGGATTTGATATGATCCTCATGTTTCTTTAAACTTCTTGCTGTGAGAAAAAGCACCCTTATTGCAAACCGGTAAATATCTACTAAATTTACATTGCATAATCCACTTTTTTATAATTAAAATGATTGTGCTGTGGTACTTATATAATCAGGATTGTTCTTTTCTCAGATTCCTAACTGTTTAGTATATATGTTTATGCATTATGAGTCTAGGGTCCATTTATAATAGTGGAGTCAATAGACTGAAAACTTCCGTATCTAAAAGAAAAAATAGTGCTTGAAGTTTTATTTTGAAAAACCATGATGCAATAGAACAAAGTAATTTCTGAATACTATGATGGATTTCGTAGGTCAATTACAATCATATATTTGAATCACAGCTCGATGAACAATGATGCAAGAGTTCTGGATTTAAAGATTACCATTGTGCTTTTCACCCCTGAAGATAAAACCTCAGTATGTTTTTTCGTGTGCACCTTGAATCAGGCGGTGCTTCATTCCCTAGGTACGTAAGGAAACATCATTGAGCAAATTTTTGTTTGACTGTCTTACTGTAGTTGCATTGATGATTTTAAATGGGTGTTGGAATGACAACATGTTACTTTTGTAATTGGAAACTTGAATCACAATGTCTAATTCAATTGTGTATATAGTTCTATGCAATTATCTGGATTGGTCCATTTTATTAATTTTATACGTCAAGCCAATTGTAGTTTACTTAAAAAATTGTTTGCAAATGGTAAAATCTCACAAAAGTTATTTTACTCAATGAGATAAAACGAGCCCCCACAAATGACGACAAGAGGTGTTCCCAGTGGTTTGGGTCTTATTGGAGAAGTGGGGTTTCATGTAGTTTATGCACAATATCTCTAAAGTATTATTATTTTCTAGCAAATCATTATTTTAGTCCTTAGAAGTGTAACTCATCGTCACATCACATTAGTCTCTCGTTTAAGGGTTTTTCAAACAAGTACCCGAAATGCCTTTTTTTCATCCAAGTTTCTAAATCTTACAACTTGTTATTTTGCTCTCTAAACATATGTTAACATTATTATGTAAGTATTTTATTTTTAAATTTTGAACAAATGAGATCGATTGATTGCATTTATAGCGATTTATTTGAATTTTTCATAGTTTTAGATTTACTGGCATACACTTTATCTGCTTATTCTTGATTTTGGCTCTCTATAAATATCTGCACCACAGTAACACAATTGAGACAAGTACCCTATTGGAAGATGGAATTAAAAGTTCAGAAGGGGAAATGGAAAAGAAATGCAAAATTTGAATTGAAGTGGAATAAAACTGATCAAACCCTTGGCTACGGAAAGTACACTGATAAATATCAATGTGGTTTTCACACGGTAGGCTCACAATTGCAGTATATCCGCTGTTCGCAACTTCTGGTTTGTTTGGTTTAAATGGACGTTAAACATCTCTGTCTTCTGCAGTGATAAGGCTATATTTCATCTATACGACTGAGTTAAACATAACATTTGTTCAAATAACTATTAAAGTAAGTTTTTTTTTTTTAATGATCACTCAGTAGTTCCTAGTAAAATAAAGAAATTAATGTTTCTAAAATATCGACAAAATATAGCACAATTTTCCACATATTTCAGTAGGTTAAAGAAAATATCAGAAATTCTTGCATACTCTTTTTCTTGGATGTAATGTGGATATGGTAGCAAGCTATATGTTACTAGAATTAGACTGATATGATTTAATACTATAATTAATAGAGCAAATTATATGAACCAGAGAAATTCAGTATATGCAAGAGCTCTATCATTACTTAGTTTGTTGTCATTGCTTTGTGCACCAATAGGCCATGCATGTGTTCGGTGTTCATGCTCTAAAAATTGTCACATTGTATACAAGTGGTTTCACGTAATACTTGCAAATCATACACCACTGAAAATGAAAATCATTAAAAAGTATATCTTTTGATAGGTTTTCTCACAACCACACAAAGTTGAGTTCAAACATATCCATATTTCTCATGGATCAACACATTGTACCTTGAATAAAATTTTCCAATCAAATGCAATCTATAGGATTATGTTTCATCACTAAATACAAAATTTTCTGGTTATTCAACTTATTTTAAACCTAGCACTTACACATCTCTCTTCAAAAAGTAAAATAAAAATTCAAATTCTTATTCACTATAGAATCAAATAAATACCACCTTTCAAAATCTCTAAAGAAGCCACAATAATTGTCGGTATACCCCCACATGGATCAAACTAAATAAATAATTTACTTTTTAATTTAGTCATAAAATTTAAATAAATTTAAATATGATTTACGAAATAAACTTCATATTTTATTTTAAGTAAATCTCAATTTGTTAACAGTAAAGTGTAATTTAGTCTTTTGATGTCATCATTAAAGACTAACTAAAAAAACACTCAAATATTCAACCTGAAATACTTAAATATTTTATCGTAACATTTGGTTTATTATAGATATTGATTAATCAAACTTATATCTAATAACATCAGCCTCATAAATAAACAAGAAATTATAATCAACCAAAATAGGTGACAAATTATAAGGAAAACTTGAAATCAATATTTTTTACATTCACATAAACAAACTTACTCATTATAACCTTTTGTGATTTGTATTAACTTCATAATTAAAATGCATATTGCTCGAAATCTCATCTCACACATTGTTCTTGTGATGCTATTATTATCTGTTGTTGTACTTCGAAATTTTTTATTTGTACTTGTTATAAAGTTCCTCAATGTGAACTATCGACTATATTTTTAAAAAATATAGTTTAATTATGTTTTCAACTCTTCAACTTTATGATAATTTTAGTTTTAGTTCTTGGAATTTTTAAAAAATTATTTTAATTCTTCAATATAAAGAAAATATGATTTTAATCTTAAATATTAAATTTGAAGGATTAAAATGAGTTTTTCAAAAATGTTTTGAATTATTTAAATTTAACGTTTAAGTATAAAATTTGAGGGATTATAATTTTTTTTTTAATTTGAGGGACTAAAAAATATTTATTTCAAATTATGGACTAAAATTATAACTAAAAATAATAATTTTTTAAGACATGCAATCTTGAAGAAATTATTACAGTGCACAAGTTTCTCTAGCATATAATAATTTGGTGGTAATTTAACTAACAAGTTTTAATAAAAACTATTTCGTTATAATCACGAGTCTCGCATTTAGAAATCGAGGTCAAAATTAATTTATATATATCCTCTACTTTTAAGAATAAAATTATTATGATTTAGAGCTTAAAAGTAGATAATATTTCAAATATGAGGATTGAATTAATCGTAATAATATTTTCATAGTGAATATGAGATCAGATACTCTTATTCATGGATTGAACACAAACTAACTTAAAAATTTATAAAAGAAAAAAATGTGAAAGGAAAATATGATGATTTTTCAGTACAATTCTTTATAATAGTTTAAAAGAATTTCTTTAAAAAATACGAGATTAATTCAAATAACTAAGATATATTAAATATTTAGTTTTTATAATGATTAAAACAATATCTATTTTTATTAATCACTCATAATAATTTTTAATAAAATAAAGGAAAAAATATTTTTAAAATATACATTATTTTGGACTAATCTTTCGGTAATGAAAAACGATACTTTTTTATAAATTCTATTTTAATTGCGAAACATTTTATTCTTTTCGTAATGAAAGAATGCATATTTTTATTCCCATAACACAATGACGGATATAAAGATAGAACATGAAAAAAAAAAAATAAGAGATTTAAAGCTAAATAAAATTTATTCATTTTCGTATTCAATTTTTGTATTTATTGTTATATTTTTTAAATATAAATTCTTTAGATATTAGTTTTTATTTGAATAATTACGCAGCCTATTCGATTAACCTAATTAGTGAATGATGCTAGTAGTCCTAAGTTTACGATAAAACTAACTTTTTCTTTTCTTTTCTTTTCCTTATTTTTTATTTTCCTAAATTATTAGAAGAATTTTTTTGAAAAATAATTAGATCCATAATTAAAAATCTATCATTTAGTTATTAGAATTTGATTTCGAATCAATATCATAAATAATATATTTAAAAATAAAATTACTTAAATGAAAAATTATTTATCTCATTTATTTTCTTATTTCTCTCCATTATTTTTCTTTTTTTCTCACTCCATCTTATTATTCAATTGAAAATAATATATTAAAATTTAATAACGTGAGTATTTTATTATTACTAAAAAATAAAAATATTTAAATAATTAAGAAATATTATACTTAAGATATTACAAATATTATTATTATATTATAATTAGTAAGAAAAATTAAATATTTATTTTAAAGTATTTTTATTAAATGATTTTTAAAATTAACTAATCAACTAATTATCATAACTCAAATTTATTATAACTTGATTAAATTATTATATATAAAAAATACATTTAACTTATAAATATTTAACATTTTTTAATTAGATAAGTAATTATTTATTATGATAAAA